CACCCCCACTCCGAACCTTGTGTGCTTTGCTCAGAACCAGGGAGCATTCACATTCAATGCCAAGTTTTCTGTTTATAAATTAGTTCTCTTCCATAAAATTTTTGAATCAATCAACAATTTCATGGTTTCATTTGTTTAAAGTATGAAAACTGCTTTTCAAATCCTACTAAAAGTGAAATCCTAAAAAATGACAAACCTATGTAAAGCCTTATTTTTAAAGTCCTATTCTTGCTCAGATTAATCAAGTGTTGCCAAACTATCTGCTGAATTAAGTTGCGTTGTTGTGCTATGAACACTAAGCACTAAACTATTTTTAAGACTGTTGTCTTTAAGAAAACTCTAATGTCTGTAGGAAATGCAAAACACTCTAGTTTTTCACAAATATGTAACAGTACGGTATCCTTAGGAAAATGTTGCAGTCTAATGTAAATGTTTTCTCAACCTGTGGTTGTTGCATAGCATTGTATATCAAACCTAAACGATTAAGATAATTGACAATATGACTGACCTTAGAGTCACAGTAAAAAATGGTTTATCACTGGTAAGGGCTCAGTTACAATCTAGTTCTTGCTGCTGTGATTAAAAATAAATATTCTTACTGAAGTATATGTACTCCTCTTGACAGCATTGTATTGTGATGGGTAAGTGAAACACATCTGGTTTGATCAAGTGATATTGCCAGACAGTATTTTGACACTGTACAGACCAATTTACACTACATTGTCAACTGAGTGGTTAAGCTGAATAGATTTTTTTTGTCACAGGTAAAATCAGTAACAGTAAAATTAACTTGTCACAAATATGCAGTAGGTGAAAAAGAGGTTGGTGTTTTATAGGTAGGTTTTTGAATTTATTTTCAAGTAGGGCATTCATTTAACACAACTTTGAACTGGTCATTCCCACAGATGTTATATTAAGTAAATGCTTTTCTTGTAGAATTTCTTCTTATTGAGCAATATAACTTGTATTTTAAAACCTTTCTGATATATTAGCATTTTGTTTTTTTGTAGATTAGAAAACTTAAGCATATCCTTATTTTCCTATTACTTCTGATCCAGTAAACTATGTGCTTTCTGAGGCGTTTTCTTTAGTCTTCTAGTCATTAGGTGTAAAAATCATGTGAAACAGTTTACAAGTTTTAGTAATTTTTATACTTTAGACCTCCTTAAGCTATGAACCTTCTCAAACATTACTTTGCCAGGTACCCCAACACTAACATGACTAATGCTGACAATTGTCCTTTAGCTCACCTACATGTGCATCACGTTGATTTATCTGGTAATGGTAACTTGGGTCTGTGAGGTTCTGTAACTTAGTGCTAACAATGTTCTGTACATCCTAAACTGGCAAGAATACAATGTTGAACTACACCCTTTCAACCACTAGAACAAAATTTAAAAATCAAGTTGCAAAATTGTGAAGTTTTTACATTGATCTTTTGCTAATGCAGTTAGTATGTTTTGCATGTATGACTTAATAAATTCTTGAATCACATCATTGGTAATGCTTGATTTTTTTTTTGGTCAAAATGTTCTTAAATCTTTATTGCAGAAGTGTGTTTGCTTGCTATTTATAGCAGAATGGTAGTAGTTTGGAACTGTCTGTCTTTCAGTAATATGTAAGTACATGCTCTTCAGAACAAATGAATTCCAGGTTGCTAGATGTCATAGGGTTAGGGATTAAAAAAACTAGTTCTTGGGTCACTAACCCGAGAACAATGCTGAGAGAAGTTTGCTGGCCCTGACAGTTTTTCTTGCTCTTTGTAGGATGCCATACTTTGGCCCTTCAAATAAAATTGCATTCTTCTTACTACCTTGCCTTGATCCCTGTTTCAGGTGTGATAGAAAGCTAACCAGCTACTACTGTCTCTAGCTCCCAGTGGTGGCAATTTAATGCTTCAATGATTTGAAAACTGGGACTTGTAGTATAGGACAACCATCTTATCCCCTGGACCATGCTTTCAAACTCCTTTGTGGAGAGGGCTGGAGTATAACTCTAGGACTACCTCCTCCCTTCCTTAAAATAGTATATCTCACTGCTAATGGGAGGCCTAATCAAGAATGGCCTTTGTCATTCTTTGTTTAGTCACATTCAGCATCACTTACTGGGAGGACATCCTCTCTGTTTGTGCCCACTGCTATTGCCCGTTTCCTTTCTTTGCTCTTCATTTCCCTTGTTGCAGCAACTTTGTTCTCCCTCTATTCCTGTCTGATAAAATTAAGTATATAAAGTAGGAGTGATCAGCAGTTACAATTGACATCATGAACATTATAGACAACACACCAGTAAGACTAATGGGGAGGGCTTTCAAGAGTCAGCCAACACTGCATCATGCTTACCTTGCATTTCGAATGTTAATATCCTAGAGGGCTGGAAGCATTTTTAATGAAAAGTTTATATTTTGTAGAATCTGATATTTCTGTGGTTCACTTAGAACACTTACTCTGGCCCGTATTTAACATCTGCCCTATGTGTACTAAAGTAAAGCATGTGACAGCTCACTAACCAAGAGTGACTAGGTTACACCTCAATCTACTTCTCCCAGTGCACAGGAACTTGAAACTTGGGTCTCTTGCATCCCAGATGAAGTGGCTAATCTGCACTGGGTCTTAATCTTGCCTGTTAGAGCTCTTTTACTTAGTGTATATGACTATAGCAGTGGTTCTTAAACTCTTGAACAGGTGACCCCTTTCACATAGCAAGCCTCTAAGTACAACCCCCACCCCCAATAAATTAAAAACAGTTTCTTATATATTTTACCCTGTTATAAATGCTGGAAGCAAAGCAGGGTTTGGGGTGGAGGCTGACAGCTCATGACCCCCTGAGGTGTTCTGACCTCCAGTTTGAGAGCCCCTGGAAGATAGTGTGATGATTGTGGAAGACATGAATTCAAGTCCCTGCTTCTCCTACACTGGCTAGGGCAGTAGGTGGTGGTGTCAGTAGCTACCGGTGTGGGGCTCTGCTCTTGTTCGATGATAAGTCATCAGTGTGCGTGTTCCCTCTGTGTGCTGCCCCAGTTCTGTGCAGATAGCTGACAGCAGACCCTCAGAGAACCCCCAAAGACCACTCTAGTAAGGTATGAAGGAACCTGAGCCAGGTTTATTAAAAGAAGCACAGTAATAGTTTCCTGTAGACTCTACAAGACATACTATGAATTTATGCCCCCAGCAATGGACCAGCTCAGTCAGTGGCAGGACTTTCCACTGCCCCCTAGGCCAGACAAAGATGTGCACTCCAGGACCTACTTTTATACAATTACAGGACAGATTACTCATCACTACTGATGTACTGCAGTACAGCCCCTTGACTTATTGGGGGCTCTTTGATCATGTTGGTTCAAACAAATCTATCCCTCATGTTGTCCTTTTGACCCTGTCTTTAATATGCACCTGCCTGTTCCTTGTTAGCTCTGTGGAGTGTTCTGATGCTATCTTGGCACAAGTGCCTCTTATTAGCACTAATGCGTGGATGCACCGGCTTCACAGCCCAGTTTTTGCTTAGCAATACCTGGAAGTACTTTGGTTCAGGCCTTTGATACAAGAGTTTGTTTCAGGGCCTCATCTTACTACAGGTGTCATCTCCCTGATCTTTATAAAACCTCAAACAGTTGTGGATTTGTCCCAGTGCCCAACAGGAAAACCTCTAGCCTTGCTGCTCAGAAAGACTGCTACTGTAATGTGCACAGGGACAGTTAATAGGAATTCTTACAAGCAGGGATTAAACGTCACACTAGAGGGGAAAAATCAAACAAAGTGTCTTGCCTTTGTTTTGGTACTACTGTACTAAAATCTGATGGTGATACTCAAGACAGGTCTAAAGGACAAGTTAGTGTGCCCTCCACTGGTAGTGCACTGATACTTCAAACAGCAATAGGTCAAAGTGCTCTAGACATGATGTGAGGGGTTTGTCATGGCAGTGTAAATCACTACACTAAGTACTTAAAGTGTTGCTATGGCACAAGATCCACAACCTGCATTGCTTTTTAATATACAAATCATAAATTTCCTGTCCTGTGTCACACATATACTTGCATGATTACACTGAGACAAAGTGAGATTTTATTTTGTTCCTGCTTGAAGGGGCACAGCAGGACTACCAAAACAAACTTACTCTACCCCAATACACAAATTCTGAATTTTTTTTTTTTTTTTTTTTAAAATAAGGGACTGTCTCTGACAAGCAACATATGCTTTTTACAAAAGGATCATTTGCTCAGTACAAAGCAACTAAGTTTAATCAGACATTCATCATACAATCAATTTAAATGGTGGAGTTGCAAAATTGGTACTTGCAAAGGTTTCTTACCTAGATAGTCCAACTAAATCGAATGTACAGAAGGTAAGAGTCAGAGGGTCATTAGTCTCAGGCTGGACCTAGTGTAGAAAGGGTACAATGGTTCTCTGTCATTCCCTTAAGAACTTATTTTGAGATTTATTCCTACATACTAGAATTTAAAATGAGTCCTTTAGGGTTAAAAACAAACCGATACAAAAATATTGCACATGTATCCAAGCAGCATTTTGAAAAACAAGAGATCCAATATTAGAAAATTGTCATGAAATAAATGAGACCTTCTGAAAATACCTCCGTGGTAACTAGTGCAATCAAGACTGGCTGTTTAAAAACAAAATAGAAAATTTTATTTTTTTAAACTCTCTCTCTCTTTGCACTAGATTTGCAACTGCACCATCATTTACTACCCAATTTCCTTTAATGAAACTTCCTACTGGCAGTGTCCATTTCTAATAAATATTAATACTGTGCTTTTACATAAGCACCTTTCATCCAAGAATCTCAATGCTTTGCAAAGATGGGTAATACCCTCATTTTACAGATGTGAAACTGAGACACAATGGAAGTTAAGTGACATGCTCAAGATAACATAGCATGTCTGTGGCAGAGCTAGAATTAGAATTTAGGTGTCATGGTTCCTCTGCTCTACCTCAATTATCTCCCTATGAAATTGCAAGTACCAATTTCATGACAAGTGCATATCAGTTTATCCAAATCCTTCGAGCTGTAAAATGAAAGATACAGTAATTTACATGTAACTGGCTAAGACTCATCTTACTGTTCCATTTCCAGAAAGGTTAGATCTGCTTCTGTCAAAATCCTGAATACATTCATTTTAACTATCTTATTACAGTTAGCCAGTAATGTTTACTTTTGCAGAACCTCTGCAGAGTAAAATGCATTTTGCATTATGACCATCACCAAGACAACCCCTCCAGTGTTTCTATTTTAGGCATGTTAAAAAAAATAAACAAAAAACCCCACACCACCACTTAAGTCTGAGGTTAAAGGCTCCTGAATACTTGAAGCCTAAAGAAGAAAAAAAAAATAGGGCTGTTCTCTTAGAGTTATAGTCATATTGTGTTGGTGTGAAAGTCTCCTTCTATTTGACAGGGAATACAAGATGCTTTTTCCTCAGTCAAGTTGTTCAGGGCTTTGAGCACAACATCTGGCATGTGATCCGTTATCATCTTGGGACTTATTAAAATATTGCTAAAGGCTGTTTCTTTTGACCATCTTGCAGTATATTTAACATCAGAAGAACACCACCTAAAAAGAAATATTTCAATAAAGCTTTTTAGACATTTAGAATATCACATGAATTTTGGTCTGTGTCCACTCTACAGTGCAAATCCACATGTTGGCCTTAGAAAGCATATTGGTCATATATTTAAAACCTTTGCAGATTATTAAAGGATATAAACAAATCTTTACTCAGCTACTACTAAATATTTTATATAATTAGAAGAAAAAGTGGGCTTTTCAAAAAATCCTCCGTATTGGCCTACTGTGCTCCAATTTATATCAATGGTAAAACAACATCAGTGAGATCAGAAGTAAGCTAATTTGAGAACTAATCCTATTCCTCACATTCTTCTTACCCTGAGTTACAGATCCTGTTCTATTGTAACATTTGTGCAGATGGAGTCTGTCGGTTAGTTTATTTACATAAACAAATGGAATTTCTCAACTAATGATGAACACATTAGTTAGTGACATCAATGAGCAGCTAATAATTTTTTCCATATTTCCATCAATATAAAACTAAACCAATATTTGCCCTTTTCTATATCAGAAACTTCTAAAGGAACCCTTTTTTCCTAGTCTTTAAAATGGTTATTTATTTTTTATTAGCAATATCTCAAAATCACATTTGGGGCTAGATGGACTGGACAAAGTAGTGGTGTGTTATTTACTGACTACCATTATGTTGAGGGTGCTTTTATTACATATCCAATATTAGATTAAATATTATAATACAGCTAATTATTGTGTGTCAGGCTGAACTGAGGAGGAAGGCTGGGGAGTTTATTAGCCCAGGCGATTGATATTAATTATCTACCCACTCAATTGAGACCATCCTCAGATTATTGCCAAACAGTACTGATTTTTAAAGCTAAAAATATTAAAAAACGAATGTGAAAGAAGAAACCAGAACGCTAAAAGAAAGAGGGCTGGCAAACGGCTGAAAGGAAAGTGTTTTAAAAGAATTTGGCCTGTCCTCCCTTCTTCATTTTCCTACTCCCTTCTCTTCTGGTCAACAAGTAGGCTCTTTCTCCTCTAAATCATCCATCTTTTTGTGTCTGTTTCAAAATGGAACTAGGAGGGGTGGACAGAGGCAGGAGCCTTGCTGGCCCATAGAGTGGGAAGTGAGGAAGGAAGGAAGAAAGAGATTTGCCTTTTTTTAAAACTCTTAAAAAATGCTTCCCTTTTTGGTAGTTTCATAACCCCCATTTTCTTTGCTATTTGAGCATCTGTCTCCTTCCTGCTTCAACTCAAAGGGAGGGAGAAGCTGAGGCAGCAAGGTTCTTGCTGGACCAGTTTGAGAATTCCAAGTACAGGAGCCAAAAGCAGAGAGATTTGCATGCTCAGGCTACAGTTATTAAGGCAAATATGTAATAGAAATGGTAGTACTACATCATTAACACAACTGCACCATGGCTGGGACAAGCCCATTTCAGTATAATGGGTGATATTACACCAACTTTGACAATAACTAGGTACTCACTCCACAAACAACGGTAATGTCACAGTAGTGTGTAACAAAGCAATTAGCATCACCATTTCAGCACCTAAATACCTTGTGATGCCTTATATAGTGCTGTACAGTAGGTGGCCTGCGCCAAACACATAACAAGTACCTGTCCTGGCTAGTTTACTGTTTAAAGGTGTAAGTGAGTAGAACTGATTCAACACAGAATGGATTTTGGTCATTACACCACACCAGAACAACAACTGGTTGTTCCCAGTTTTGGGGGTAAGCATGAAATGAAGCACTGACTCAGAAGTAGGTTAAAGAAACGGAACACCAGAGAAGATTGGATACAATATATAAAGAGCATGAATAGATGTAGGAGAAGATGAGAGCAGAGAGACCAGAGCTCTTGCCTCTGCTCCTAAGGTGAAGAAGAGAAGCTTCAATTTAATAATTCAGTGAAGCATAATGCTGATCATTTACCTTCTTGAGCTGGTTTCTTCTACAATATGGATGATTTTTCCTGGGAGATAAAGATGAGGATACTGAGGTGGAGCATTTAAAGGAGATTCATCCTCAATGGCATTGTAAGAAGGTGACCGATGCATCATTAAACTCTCTTCAGCTAGAAGAGGCTGGGTTAGGGCATCTTGACTTCTACCATCTAACTCAGTTGGGAAATTATCTGGATCTCCTCCAAACACTTCATACCAACACCCATACAGCAGGATCTGGTACTGAGTTCAGAGAGAGAGAAGCAGAATATGGAATTTTGATGTTTATTTTCAAAGTAGTATTTAATTTTAAAAACACACACAAAATGCAAGATCTCTATACCCAAGTTTCTCCAAATTAAGTAGAGACACTTTTTTGTGGACTGAGCTGATATCAATTAATTAAGAAGGGTCAATTCAGAGGGAAATGTCTGCAACTCTGACAATTAATTCCTCCCCCTCCCCCCGTTCTCCTATCCAGCTTGAATCCCCACATTCACAATCTCTAGCTGCCTATCAGCTTCTTTAAGTTTAACTCTCCACAGAAGGCTTCCATAGGGTCGCTAATCTTGGAAGTACACACAAATCTTGTGGAAAAACCCGTGGAGGATCTAGGGTTTAACTCTAGGCATCGATGGATGGCAGTTTTTAACCCACTCCTCCTCACACCACAAGGAAGTCATCTTCCTGACAATTTATTGTTCCAGTCCTCCAGGAGGACCACCCTAAAGCCTCATCCAGCATGCAATCCTTCTCCAATGACTACTGCTCTGAGAATGCAAGCATAGCTTCTTTTGGAACTTCACCTGTGTTTCCTCAATGAACAGTAAGGGCTGATGGTACAGCCAGACAAAGCCTTCCCTGGTGATGGGGAGAAGGAGTCCCTTCTACAAAATTCCCACCCCCTTTTGGTCCCAGAAGACAGGACCAAACTTAGCCTACTGCGCCATACTGGAGTCCTCGGTCATTGATCTATCAATCCCTCCTTAATCAGCTGCAGGGATCATTGCTGAGCAACACCAGGGGCACATTGTCCCACTACAGACACTGCACAGCCTCTGCATACTTCTAGTTCCTTCCAGCCAACACAGCAACAAATTGGGATGGTAAATAAACAATGCTGTCCTGCAGGAGATCCACCACTAGGCCTCCCAAAACACATGTGAACTTGACTGCAGCCTATAGCGTTTAACCTCACTAATACTAAAACCAAAAACTAGGCAATAAAAATTTGAGATTTTTGCCTTAAAAAAAGGCACTGAAAATAAAGATGTTTTAAGGGGGGGGAGGGATAGCTCAGTGGTTTGAGCATTGGCCTGCTAAACCCAGGGTTGTGAGTTCAATCCTTGAGGGGGCCACTTAGGGATCTGGGGCAAAAATCAGTACTTGGTCCTGCTAGTGAAGGCAGGGGGCTGGACTCGATGACCTTTCAAGGTCCCTTCCAGTTCTAGGAGATAGGATATTTCCATTAATTAATTAATTAAACAAATTCCCTATTTTTGTAAGTAATAATTTACTAAAACTATTAAAAAATCTTATTGATTTGTCACCATTTATGCTATTTGGTTTATATTTTGCATTTCCCTTGAGCAGCAAACTAGTCTGAATTACATACCCTATTTCAGATCTCAAGTCTTATGCACAACCACAAGAGTTTCCAAAATAGCAGGGAAAGGTTTAAATAAGATGACACCACATACCTATGTTGTCACTAAATTAAAAATTAACAAACATTTCTATTCAATTTGTGCTTTGGAACCCCCTTCTTAACAGAAAACAAGCCATCACCACACTAAAAGTTGTATCAAAACTACTTGAACAATAAAAGCAAAGGGAATTGTCATGGTGTGTTTTGTTACCTTCGGCCTGTTACAATTAGCAACTATTCTCACTAGCCTTCTCTTCAGGTCTTCCATATTGGGCATACTTAACCTGTTTAACATACAAAACAAAGTGAAAAAAGCTTCTTAGGCCAACTGCTGGAGAATAACCATCTCTGAATAAAATGTAATGGTCCATCTCAAGTCACATCCTTACCTTGCAACAAGGTCCTTTCCAACAATGACTGACACAATGAAGCATTTAGAGTAGTCTGCAAGTGATTTGCTAAAAAAAAAAATTAATATATATATATATATTTTTTAGTTTTGCTATGACCTATGTTATTTGTATAATATAATAATGTGTTGCAATAAAAACATTCAGTTATTTTACTGCACTTTTTTCTGGAACTAGCCTTTTAAGACTAATTCAAGAGCAGGTTATACTGAACCCCCTTACACATGCTAAATAATAGGGATGGACTAGATGACTTCTCATGGTCCCTTACAATCCTAAATTTCTATGATTCTATGTACAGGCCAAGATTAGTTAAGGATTTTGATTTGAAGCATTTACTTTCAGTATTAACAGTGTATTCGTTAACAGAATTAATAGAGTATTTCATTCTTTAATGGCTACACAGGAACAATGTCAGATGGGACAATTACAACTTTGCTGGAAAACTTTATTTTATAAATAAGCTATGAACAAGTTTCAGTCATCATCTACAAAGGCAAACCCCACAGTCAGAACAAGATAAGCCTGTTCAAATTTCTTTAATATTAAGGCTGTTGATTAATTGCAGTTAACTCATGCGATTAACTCAAAAATATTAATCATGGTTAATTACAGTTTTAATCACACTGTTAAACAATAGAATACCAATTGAAATGTATTAAATATTGTGGATGTGAGAGAGAGAGAGAGAGAGAGAGAGAGAGAGTAAGTATTTGGTGTTGTAATTGAAATCAAAGTCTATATTATTCTTGATTATCTTTTACAGTGTAAATATTTGTAAACAAAAGAAATAGTATTTTTCAATTCTCCTCATACAAGTACTGTAGTGCAATCTCTGTGTTGTGAAAGCGCAACTTACAAATGTAGATTTTTTATGTTACATAGCTGCACTCAAAAACAAAACAATGTAAAACTTCAGAGCCTACAAGTCCATTCAGTCTTACATTTACAGGAGATAATGCTGCCCTCTTCTCATTTACAGTGTCAACAGAAAGTGAGAACGGGTATTTGCATGGCACTTTTGTAGCCAGCATTGCAAGGTATTTACGTGCCAGATATGCTAAACATTCGTATGCCCCTTCATGCTTCAGCCACCATTCCAGAGGACACGCTTCCATGCTGATGACACTCATTAAAAAAAAAAAAAAAAAAAGAGTTAATAAAATTTGTGACTGAACTCTCTGGGGGAGAATTATATGTCCCCTGCTCTGTTTTACCTGCATTCTGCCATATATTTCATGTTATAGCAGTCTCAGATGATAACCCAGCACATGTTGTTCATTTTAAGAACACTTTCACCGCAGATTTGACAAAAAGGCAAAGAAGGTACCAATGTGAGATTTGTAAAGATAGCTATAGCATCAATCCAAAGTTTAAGAATCTGAAGTGCCTTCCAAAATCTGAGAGGGACGAGGCGTGGAGCATGCTTTCAAATGTCTTAAAAGAGCAACACTCAGAAGAGGAAACTACAGAACCCAAACCACCAAAAAAGAAAATCAACCTTCTGCTGGTGGCATCTCACTCAGATAATGAAAATGAACACGTGTCGGTCCGCACTGCTTTGGATGGTTATCGAGCAGAACCCGTCATCAGCATGGACACATCCTCTGGAATGGTAGTTGAAGCATGAAGGGACATATGAATCTTTAGCGCATCTGGCACGTAAATATCTTGCGATGCCAGCTACAACAGTGCCATGAGAACGCCTGTCCTCATTTTCAGGTGACATTGTAAACAAGAAGCGGGCAGCATTATCTCCTGTAAATATAAACAAACTTGTTTGTCTGAGCGAATGGCTGAACAAGAAGTAAGACTGAGTGGACTTGCAGGCTCTAAAGTTTTACACAGTTTTGTTTTTGAATGCAGTTATGTAACAAAACAAAAAAATCTACTTTTGTAAGTTGCACTTTCATAAGGAGATTGCACTACAGTACTTGTATAAGGTGAACTGAAAAATACTATTTCTTTTGTTTTTTTACAATGCTAGTACTTGTAATCAAAAATAAATATAAAGTGAGCACTATACTTTGTATTCTGTGTTGTAATTGAAATCAATATATTTGAAAAATGTAGAAAACATCCACAAATATTTAAATAAATGGAATTCTATTATTGTTTAATCGCGCAATTAATTTTTTTAAATTGCGTGACAGCCCTATTTAATATATTAAACTTAAAACCACTACAGCTTCTTCTGTCAAAATATGAGCCAAATCCATCTCTGAAACAACTCCATTCAGTCATACCTGGGATGAATTTGTGTAAGTATCTTAATGATTTCTGTATCTTGCACTTAAAACCAAGTGTTGTATTTACCTTAACAATCCTCCTGGAGGAGAAAAGGCATAACACCTTAATGTTGGGAAGGAGTTTCTGAGCATGATGGCCAATATGGAAGCTGTTCCACCACCTAAACTGTGACCAACTATAACTAGTTTATATTCCTAAAGACAAAAACAGAAGAGTTATATGGTGAGGTTAAAAGAGAGACAGCTTGCTCCACTTTGGTTTCCAATGTAACTAAAGTGTTTTGTCAAACACTGCTGGCAAAATTGAATAATTTGGAAGTCAGGACTTACAGGAGCAATGGTGAAAGCCTGGTTTAAAATGCCATCATTTATTAGCCTTCTGTAGATGTAATTTGCTGCTTGAGTTATCCCCTAGAAGACAGTATTTTAAGTTAAGAGAAAAAAAGTAGTGTCCAGTTGGAAATGCAATACACATATCCCTTTAAATGCAGTGTTCAAAGTACTGACTGCAAACATGTGTGATAACCTAGTTAACAGTTTCAATGCTCTACTGACATATGTATTGCCCAAGAGTGGCACCTGAATGAGTGTACTGCACATTTACATTTTTTTTTTTTTTTTTTTTTAATTTAAAGGGACACAGGAGGCAAGCAAAACACCAGGACTACAACTTAAAAACTCTGCCTCCTGCATTGCAGAGAAGAACACTGCCAACAAGCCACCCAGACAGCTGGTCTACTCTGTCTCACAAAAAACCCAGCTAATTCAATTTAACTGAAGAAATTTAGGGTTGTTAATTTGATTTTTTTTCATTGAATAAATTACTTCAAATGGTTAAAGATGACACATGCCTTATGTACAAAACCATTTTCCAGAACGTCTTCGAGCGTCAGGTCTTCACACTCTGCTGACAGATCAGTGAGGAGATCCTGCAAGTAAATAACAAGACAGACCTCTTTTGCTACAGACATCTATTATGGGATGTTTCACAGCCCTTGACACTGTCTTTACTACAGTAATATCCTCAAGCAAACTTTGAGTCTGCAAGTAATTGCACATAGAAAAGAGAAGTATGAATGTCTCTTACTTACACACATCTAGAAACCCATCACAAAGTGCCATTTACAGCTACTGTATATACAAACAATACTCTGATTCAAGCTACTATGCAAAAGCTGGAATGTACACTGTACATACACCTCACACCATATTGACACAAAATTACCTTTGCCTTTCTCTCACTTGCCCCTTAAAATGGCATATAGGCTCTCAGGCATCCAAGAACAGACAGGCTTACCACTTAAGAAGATTATCTACTTCCCCTATCTCATTGCTGACTCAACTGTTGGGTTATTTTAAAATTCATTGTGTCACTGTAGCACTACGTATTTCGTCTAGCCACTACAGAGAAGTGTACTGTCTCCTCCAAACCATTGGGACATACCCATCTCCAGAGCCAGTGTTACACAACAGAGATGATACCTCAAAAGACAAGGTTCCTCTCACTGCAACCACAATAGCCTCCTTTTTGTGATCCAAAGCAACAAAAAATGGGATCTCGAAAATCTGAAGGATAAAAAAATTAGATGTGTTTAATGAAGATACCAAATTTATTGTAGTTTCCTGGAAAGAAATGAACATGACATCATGAAATTCTATTTAGGCATATAAACTTTTCTTACTGAACTCAGGATTTTTAAAATCTATTGAATGTTATCATTAGGATTGCTCTTATTCTTGTACAAGGTTACGCGAGAGCTTTTGCTATGTGTTGTGAAGTCTGTCAGTACTTAAAAAAATGTCAATGTTTGTGTCACTGTTATCTAAACAAGCATCCGTGTATTAGGGTTGGGGTTTTTTTTTAAATGCTTTTAAAAACATTTTGGGTTAGTTGGGGCTTCCATTTTATAACAGGGGAGGGCGAGGAGAGGAAAGCATCCTCTTCCTGGTTTCTAATTGAACTCAAGAAATTACTGAGAATTCTCTTGCTGAATGTTTGTCCAGACTGTTTACCTTGTTATGAAAGCTGATATGAATGAAATCTCTGTACTGTAGCCCTGTTATTTTTAGGATGGATCCAAAGTGAAAGTTAAGATGATCACCGCCAATTATATCAGAATCTGTTGGGCTGTTTCTGCAACTAAGGAAACATGGGAAAGAAAAGTGAACTTGCCAGTTCCAGCTAGTTAAATTTCCTTTCAGAAAAAGAACTCAATTACATTCACAGCAGGGTTTCTATTGGGAGCACACTGGGTGTTTATACTATAAAGACTGGCTAATACACCATTGCTATAAATCTTTTCGCAGAGTAAACAAGGCAATTCCTAAGAAGATAATTTTTTTTTTTAAACTACATCCAGATAGAAATTATACACTTGAGGAAAAATTTCAAGTACAAAAACAATTCTAAGGAATGAGTTAATCTGACCCCAGCCACAATTTCAGCTAAGTCTTTATTACAGTATGTTGTGACATCTCAGGAGGATAATTAACTTTATGGCAATTAAAGCTGGATGGAATATTCACTCCTAATGTCACAAATAATGGAGGCGACTATTTAAACAGAGAGATACTATATAAGATTACGCTTGCCTTCTTAGTATTAACTGCCAAAGTTTGCAGTGTTATTGTAGCTGTGATGATCACAGAATATTGGAGACAAGGCGGGTTAGATAATAACTTTTACTTGGTCAACTTCAAAGCTGCCAAAGTTTGACATAAGAAAGTTTTTTATTTTGATGTACTTAGTATAATTTCCAAATCTGTCTATTTCTTTTTCTTAATTTTGACACACTTGTGTTACATTATGTTAAATATAATATTAACATACAAAGCTAGTTTATGGTCAGATTTACTTATGTTAGATTTTGATCCTGCACCTGTCTCAGTGCAGATAGCCGCCTGTGCAGAGACCCATTAACTTGGGGGAAGACTGTCTATACAGAGAGAATTTCAGGATCAGGGTCTTTAACAACTGACTCATTCCTTATATAGAAGCAAATGGTTCCACTGTAAGACAAAAAGGTCTAGGAGGGTAATCTTGCCTGATTCCCCTAAATAGAGAAAACAATCAATGTACTTCCATTTATACACACTCTTGTCTAAGCAAAAGCATATAAGGCCTCAATCCATCTTTTTCGGTTTGATTTGATTCCAACAGCCCATGACCCCATTTTGAGGAATGTCCATTCAACTCAGTCAAATGCCTTTTCAGATACTAACATTAATCTGGCTGAATGAAGACCAGTAACTCTTTACACTGTTTGCAATCTTTTATTTCTTTGTTTTCTTGTGACTATTGGGTCACACTCTTTGTAGCTTGCATAGGCTGAGCTCACTGCAAGCACCAGGGGCTCCTTGCATCCCTCCACTCCATCCCACAAGGCCCTGTGTGCTACCCTCCTGTCCCTCTTTATTTCAGGTACTCCCTGAAATTTCCCCATATTCCCGCATGCCAACAGCTCTGTGTGCATCCCCATTCCTGCCATACCCTCCATACTAGGAGCTCTGTGTGCACCCTTTTCCCTCCATGCACCCCATCTTCCCAGTGCTGGAGCTCTGTGTGCCCTCCTCTACCCACACCAGGATACCCCAATCTCTGCCTCACTAGGTTCTGTCTCCCCCCTATTCTCCATGCTAGTGGTCTTGGGTGCTCCCCACTCCACTCATACCAAGGTCCCTCAATTTTCACTCCACACCAGGGGCTCTGTGTGCCCTCCCCCCATTCTGTCTCCCAGGCCAGGGGCTGTGTGCACACTCCCATTCCCCAATTCCCCCAAACCAGTATTTTTTTGGGAGATAAGTCATTCAAGGTGCAAACATGTTAAACTTTATTAGGACAGGCAGAAATGAGACAGAGGTAGTTTTCTGCTGGAAGGCATTAATAGGTGCCATTAACCAACTGTTTGATTTTATAGACAAATACAGAGGGGCTTAAAGCTGTTGCTCTATGTGTCTCCCATTCCCCCTTTCAGTTGTCCAATTCTATCCAAAATCAATAGGGTTCTGGTCACTGATGCCCACGAACATGCTCTGAACATTTGTAATTAATCAGGTGCAGTGTTCAAAAACTTCTTGTGTAATAGCCAAACACAGAAATGCCATCAAGTTCAGTGTATGGCTTTGTAAGTTTGGCCAAAGAAAACAGCTTGCCTACCCTTCCAAAATCGGAAGTAGTATTTTGAAGGCTGGTTTCCTTTTACTCAATTTGCGAAAGACAACTCTAGCAATCAAGCTCATGTATACTTATTAATAGATAGAAATTGACGAAATAAGAGAACTGCTATTTAAGTGATTTGTACTAATATGAAAAAACAAATAATTAAAAAAGAAACTATGCACTTTTAAGATCTTATACCAACCTACCAGTCACCATTAAGCTTACAGAGTGCAGTAAATGGGTTAGTGTATATGTAGTAAGGCCATCCATAAGCAGCTGCAGCAAACTGCATGTAGTGAGCAGCATTTTCTAATTCAATATCCAGATCATCAGTCTGGAGGGTGAAAGAAACAAAAACAAAAAACAAACAGTTCAACATGTAAGGCAAGCCCAGGATAAAGAATGCAGATGCACACCATGCTACTGTAACACTAAGGGCCTAGATCTCCCCATAGACCCAAACAGTCATGGCAATGACGTTTATTCTTTTACCTTTTCACTGTAAGCCCCAGGTAAGTGAAACAGAACAACTGAGAGGAAGGAGTTCACACTTAGGCATATTCAATTTTCTTATTTAGAAAAAGTTTAGAGTTTATTTGTTAATAATAAAGTCTTGAAAATGGAGTCTTGAAAAATTCTAATTATTATTTAAAAGTAATTGTTCAGTAACAGTACCAAGTTTATGTGTTTCTATACTTTATTATGCACTGATAAACATGGAACTGAAAATTTAAGGGGTGTAGGTGGAGGGAAAGCTACAGATTATGTAACAGATAATTCTCACAAGAGCTTTTTTTCCTTTGCACAGAACCCACCATCAGCTGAATTCAAAAGGAACTATCTAGTAAGTGGCGTGCACTTAAACGGTTTCAACTGAAGTGGAATAATCTACTTTGGTTAAAACAGTGCAATAGGTGAGAAATTAAAGATTACAAAAGGTACAAAATAATTTACAAGAAATTTTTCCCATTTTAAGCCATTTAAGATACGGGTGGAAGATCCCAAAATGAAGTGTCACTCCTGATCAGCAAGCATTAAACAATTACTGTTTCTGTTTCTCATCCTGTCTGGATGTTGGTTACTCAGTTATAATTTGAAAGACAAGTACAGTATACTGACGCTCCCCGGGTTACGCAAACCCGATTTATGCAAATCCGCACTTATGGAAAAAGTTCCATAAGCTTTTTTTTTTTTTTTTGGTGCATAATGGTCGGGTATACGTTCCCGACATACGCAAAATTTGACTTGCGCAAGGCGTTCCGGAACGGAACGCTTGCGTAAATCGGGGAGCATCTGTACTGCAAGACCAACATTTTCAGCTTTATGCTCATAGAACTGGAACGTCACCTTATTTGTTTCTGTGCATATTCTTCTTGGTGATCCAAAAAAACCTATAATTTTCACACATATACCTACTTCCCATTTCAAAATTTCATATTTATCAATACAAATGAAAACATAATTGTGGGGTGGAACTTTTGGAAGTGCCTAAGGAACACAACTCCCATTGTTTTTCAATGGGACTTGTTCTCCTAAATCACTTGAATGCTTTTGAAAATCCCACCCTTATAGCTCAGTTTTGTAATACACTTGGTAAGATGGTGGGAGGTTTTTAGTTTATAATCATTTTCCAGTCATTTTTACTTTCAGGTTCTCCATGTATTAGTACAAATACAGCAATGTTTTGATTGCAAACTTCATAAGAGGCTTTTTATTGGATTACAAAATTTCCTATTTGAACTTAAAATACTGGAAACTATGAGCCTTAGATTTTGTCAAAGCTAATTTTTACAAAACTTGCATTTTAGTTCAGTTTGACAAGACACTGTCCCTTAAACAGGCTGTATCACAAAGCTGTTTTTTGGTAGCATATCTTACCACATGGGATAGGTGGGAATGACACAGGACTTCTTCAGGCTCTTTTGGGCAGTTTTCCACTTTATCTTGCTCTTGATGGAGCAGAGTCAAACCTGCTGCTATGTCACTAGGCACCAGATCAGTGTCCTGCCAAAGAAAATGGAAAAAAATTCTTTAAAAATAAACCCACATCATCACAGGCAATCCACTGAAAAATGTAAAGTGATTTTCTTTTGCAGTTCTATAGTAAATACATTTACATCAAAAAGCAAGGGTGTGCTTGTGAAACATTCACATCCCCATCCAATGCACTCAATGTTGCATCTTTAAAAACTTTCTGCAAATAAAAGCCACATACATAAATTCCAATGTAAAAGAGAAAGTTAAAAGCATCTTAAGAGGCCTGTGGAGCCCTAAAGCAAAACATGATCTGAACATGACTAATAATTGTCACAAGCAACTTAGGGAAAAAACCCGCGTACCTCCCTCTACAGCTACTATGCAAGTTTGAAGGAGTGCTCATGCTGTTATTTGTGATATGTGACTAGCAAATACTCTTGCTCTGAACCTATGGCAAGGCACATAGCATTCGCTTACAGATCTTTAACAATACTGTAAATACAACCCTGACATTTAGAGCTCGATCCTGCAAAGTGATGAGCACTATGGTCACAAATGAAGTTGATAAGAAGTGAGAACACTCAGCCCCTCACAGGATTGGGTTCTTAGAGTGCCATGAAGATTATTCCATCTGTAAAGAAGCCACATTAGAAGGCCAGGGAGTATGGTAACTGAGCTTTTCATCACAAGATTTTTTGTTCAAATTGACTCTAGGTCAACAGTGATCATTGGAAGGCTCTTAGCAACTTATGTGAAATGAGACTGGCAAAATAAACAAGTTATATCATGAGTAATAATTAGAAATATTGGCAGAAGGATTCCCCTTCTATTAGCCATGAGAACTGGGATTTTTAAGTTTGACGGCAATGGGAAGACTCAGCAAAATCAGGACGTGGGCACTTCCTTTTCTACCATGCATAAGTGAAGGGGGGTTTACAGAGGAAAGGTCCAGGTACAGAGGTGGGGAGGTTTTAATTCAGCTGCACAGGATGACTATTCCCCTTATCAAGGCTCCCTCTATCATCCTACAACCCACTGACTTGGAGGCAATTATAGAGCAGTATGCACAGACACCATTTTAATGAGTAAGAACCTCTCCCACCAACCTTGAGTATGAAAAGAGATCCTAAAGTCACTGCTGAACTCTACTCTCTCACACAGTCTAGCGTGCTGGCAGTTAAGTCCCAGTTCAATCAATACTACGCAGACTTTAACTTGTGATGAGCTTTCTACAGAGTAGCTTTCTTGTATGGGCCAGTTTGGTATAGTTCAGGATGGGAGAACTGCCTTAACACACTGTTAATGCTGACATTACCTCTTCATAAGCTCAATAAATTAATGTAGCTAAATTGTTTGCTGTTTGTACCATTCCCTACTATGGGCAAGGGGAAAAATGGTAAACTCTGGATCCTCACATACCGAGGTTAAGAAAAATCAACCTCATTCCCCTGACTAGGGAATTGCCCAAGTTGAAGAGAAAAATAACTTCACTAGCCGAATTACAGCCAATAGCTTTACTGGGAAATCTAAATTCCCAATATAGACAAGATCCTAAATTCAGTTAATACCACCAGGCATTCTTAGAGGATCATAAGAAAACTCCAGTGGAGTGGAGCTTTTTTTTTTTAGTGAAGACAGTGAATATGTTTGTACAAGGAAAAAAGTAATGGTACCAATTTATTTTTTTAAATGCAAGCAAGCATGATATTACAGGAAAGCAAGTTTGTGACCAAAATATTGGTGAAAAAGTGGAGGCAAATTCACTGTTGTGAAGCTATTGCCTATCTGGCTCCTATGTCTGTGAAGTGCCAAGTGTGTTAAAATAAAGTAGTTTGAAAACAGTGGTTACTTGAGCATGTGACTTTTCCAAGTTTTAAGTTTGTAATTTGTTAGTTTGTGCAATTTTCCCAATCTCTTCCCCCAAGAGGGGGAAGGAACCCATGTTAAAAGGAGGACAGCGTGGTGTAAGTTTTCTGTTTCAGAATAGAGCTGATAGGTATCAAAAGCCTGATTCTCAAGTAAATGGCACTGCTGAACTCTCACTGACCTAAAGGCAAGAGCCACATGTGAAAATGCTGCAGTATTGGGTCAAATGGAATGATAAGAACAAATAAACAAATCTTTCCATCTTACTGAGAAGTAGGTGCGGAAAAGCTCTGCAATACTTGTAAAAGCCACTCGGTGATCATCATCTTGCATAATACAACAACACAGTAACCTGATTCTCCTCTCCCAGACTCTGGTTGCGGTCTTCTTGACATTATAAAACAATTGGCCTGATTGACTGCTTTCCAAGTTGCGATTTATATCATCAGCCAGGTACAGTGTCTTTTTCCCCCCAAGTGGATCAAAGACAATTACAACTGCAACGACGGTAAAGATGATGATAACCCAGCTGCAAAACAGAAGGGTGTGGGAGGAAAGGCTTGGTGAACCATGTACTCCTAAAGTACTGTATACAAGAGCATGCAGCTATAGCTCGTCAGCTACAGTTCTTGTCATAGAAAAGAAAATACAGTTTATTGTGGCATACCACCAGCACACTCACTTACTGGTACCGATGATGGCTTTGTAATAGGGACACCAATCCACTAGGAACAGGATTGAGACTGCCAACTCATTTCACATAACACACTAAACCTCTACTGCAATCACCACTGATGGATGACTGTTTTGAAATAGCTACCTTAAGTTGGGGAAGACTCCATATGCCATTACCGGTCTCTTAAGGCATCTATCCCTGCTCCTCTGTTTCTCTTCTCCCACCCTCTTCACATCTGTCTGATCGTCCATCTTTGTTTGTCTTTTTGACCCCTTCTCATCTTTACTCTTCATAGCTTTCACTTCATCCCCTGCTTTGTAAGGGAGGATGCCACAACATCTCTCAGGTAATTAGAAAAGCACAATGAAAAAATGAGTTTATTCTAGTCTTTATATAGTCACTCACTATAAAAATCTTTGTTTAAGAAACTCCAGTAATTTAAAACAAATATCCAAGTTTTGAGTGGTCAGAAAAAATCTTCACTGGATATTTAAAATATAAATGCATAATATAAGCTTAGCTTAGTTTTCTGTTAGCATCTTTACCTTGCAATAACTGTCCAAAATACGACATTTACCACAGTCCTTTCACAACGTACATCGGTGTCCGACACCCATATAGCTCCCACAACTGCCCAGACCAATTCTGGGATATAAAGACCTAGCCGAGTATAAATCAATTTAGGAAGAGATTTCCTTGGCCCAGGGTTAGAAATTGTTCCTGAAATTACAGATGGAATTTAAGTAAAAAGTCACTTATGTACATAAAATATCCACACACAAAAAAATCAGTGTTTTTATGTTATGGTGCCCAGTGTGAAATTTAATCAAGTATATAAAAACCCAACAAACTAAGATTTTTAAAGTGAAGTTTCGAAGAAGTGAAACTGTAGACCATAAAGTGTCTTAGAACTGAATGGTGAACATCTTTAGCATTTTTAATGGTTTAAAACTGGAAATATTAAAATCATTTCTGCTTTCTCAGAGGAATTTTTGTATCTGTTGTTGCACACATCTCATTTCCCAGAAGATACATTTCAGCCTCAGCCTGTTCACATAGGACTTGATTCGACTCTCTAGGCCAGTAGTTTCCAAACTTTTAATGCGCAAGATCACTTTTTGAATTTAAGGGCAACCCAGGATCTACTCTGCCCCTTCCCCAAGGCTCCACCCCTTCCCCAAAGCCCTGCCCCACTCACTCAATTGCTCGCTCTCCCCCACCCTCCCTCACTTTCACCAGCCTGGGGTAGGGGTTTGGGGTGTTGGAGGGGGTGCAGGCTCTGGGCTGGGGCCAAGGGGTTCGCAGTGTGGGAGGGGGCTCCGGGCTGAGCCTGGGGCAGGGGGGTGGGGTGCAGGAGGGGGGGAAGGATGCAAGCTCTGGGAGGGAGTTTGGGTGCAGGAGGGGACTCTGGGCCGGGGCAGAGTGTTGGGGTGCAGGAGAGGGGTGCGGGGTGCTGGCTCTGGGAGGGGGTCAGGGCTGGGGGTTGGGGTGCAGGAGGGGGTACAGGATGCTGGCTCTGGGAGGGGGCTCAGGGCTGGAGCAGAGGCTTGGGGTGCTTGAGGAGATCTGGGGTGCAGAGGGGGATCAGGGTGCTGGCTCCAGAAGGGGGTGCGGCCTCCCACCGGGCAACACTTACCTTGGGTGTCTCCTGGTCGGCGGCACAGTGAGGCTAAGGCAGGCTCCCTGCCTACCCTGGCCCCATGAGGCTCCCGGAAGGGGCCAACCTGCCCCTACGGCCCCGGGAGGGGGAGGGGGCACATGGCTCTGCATGGTGACCCTCTCTGCAAGCACCACCCTCTCAGCTCCCTTTGGGCACAGCTTCCCGTTCCTGGCCAATGGGAGTTGTGGGGGTGGTGCTTGGAGGCAGGAGCAGCGCGTGGAGGGAGACCCCTGCCCCCACATCCCCGGGGGCGTGCTGGCTGCTTCCGGGAGTGGCATGGGGCTGGGGCAGACAGGGAGCAAGACTGCCTTAGCAGCAGCCCAGCTGCGCCACCAGAGATCGCGATCGACTAGGAGATTCTCTAGGATCAACCAGTTGATCGCGATCGACCAGTTGGTGACCACTGCTCTAGGCAGTAAGATTTCTGCTATTGACTTCAATTAAGCGGTAGTAAGCCCATAACAAACCCAAAGCTCCACAAAAAGTAAGGCCTGCCTACAGTTCTTTGCTACTCTGGTTGTGAGCTTTGCTGTTTTAGTTCAGAATTCCTTACATTTCTGGCAAGCATTTTTTGCTTCTACATATTATACTGGCATAGAACAAGTATTTCTATTTGGAGTTGCATCTTTAAAGATTTACAGGTTTGTCCAGTCAACTTAATAGAGATCAATCTCAGAGTTTAAATCACTGATCTTTATTCACGGACTTTTCTCAAAGTCACTTTAGTTACAACAAAAACCCAATCACCATACAGCTTATTTTCTCAATAGGTCTGGGCTTACTAATAAGGCAGTTAAATACAAGAACACAAGATGATACAAACTCTGTTCAGATGGCTGTGACTGCAATACTCCATCTTTTTGGGCAAAAGAGCAGTCAAACAGTATTCTCCAAGTCCACCCCAAAAATCTCTTTGGAGTTAGCTAATTGTTCTAACCCAGTCCCCTTCCTTGGGAGGGAATCATGTTGTCTGTGATGCATCCACCCTGCATAAGCATGGGACCCAAAATGCACACATTCCTGTCACAGTTTGGGGTACTACCACCAATCTACCATCCAGCCTTGTCTCACTACTTTAAGACTAAGATGAAGAGAGTTTGGGTTTTTTGTTTTTTTAAATGAAATTGTGTTCTAGCAGAAGGATCTCATCAAAATAGAAAAGTGGCACCTGTCTGATAAAGAGAACCAAAGCTACCCAGGTCTGAAATACTAGAAACCTTATTGTATTTTCTGTGAGTTACAAGTAGTTCATAGAAGGGCGGGGATGAGCTCAATTTATAAATACTTTTTATACTGTGAGATTATCAACTACAGAGATGTTACTGACAAAACTTGTCACCCAACAAACTAAAAATGGCAATTTACACTCTAATGCAGCAGATATTGTCAAGCAGACGATAGCTTAATTAATTGAACATTTCAGTGCCTCAGATAGTGATTCATGTTACTCAGCCTAACAAACTTCTGTCCACCCACTTGATCCAGGCACGTAATTTAACTAACAATGGATTATTTCACTGTTACTGTTTGAAAGTGCTTGAATTGTTTTTATTGGGGGGAGGAGGGGAAATAATGTAAGAGTATCAATTGACTCCAGATATACGAGAGACTTATTAGATTATCTAGTCCATCTTCCAGTTTCCTTATTGCACATTTACTAGAGTTTTCTTCACTTTAGTTTTAGAGACACTAAGTAACAGGGTTTCCACCATTTCCCTTCAGAAATATTGTTTTTAATTGGGGAATTCTCTGTTAGATTTCCCAGAGATCCAATCTCTGTTTTCCCTTTCTTAATTTATCTGGTGATTCCTAGTTATATGCCCTTAAATTATGCTGAATAATCCTTCTCCCTCCTTGATGTTTATATACATGTATTTATATATAGTTATATCCCCAATCGTCCCCAAACTTGTAGTTTGGGCAAGGTACCTACATTGATTTTTAATCTTTCATCAGATCAATCCCTCCAGATGCCTAAATATTTTAGCTGTTTTTCTATGATCACTCTAGGATGGTCCAATGGTTGGGACACTAGCCTAGGACTTGTGGAGCAGGGACTTGGACCTGGGTCTCCCAACAGACTTTCTGTGTGGCCTCAGGCAAGTCACAGCCTCTCTGTAAAACGGGGATCATACTTTACTGGAGTGTTGTAAGGATAAATACACTAGAGATTGTGAAGTGCTCAAATACTACCCTAATGGGGGCATACAAGTACCTAAGACAGATATTAGGAGGGTCTATCTTTCTGGTAATGAGGCTCCCAGAACAGAACATGATATACAAAGGGACCATTACAGGTACCTCTCTGTCCCATGATAAGGTGTCTGTGCATATGCTCCCATATCATATTAGTTTGCCTCTCTTCCTCAAGCTGAAACTCTTCCTGTTTACATAATTATTGTATTAATAAGACACTGTATAATTTGTGTGGACCACCTTTCTATATATTTTTCCTTGACAGCCTACTGTATCTGATACACTTTTGATATGTGGCACTTACTGTGACTATATAAGGCTATGTTTACAAGTACCATTACGGAGCAGATGGATTCTGCATAGCTGCTCCTGGAAGTCTGTCAGAGGTGTTAAAAACAGTGCATCTTTTCAGATTATTTATTAGTGAACTAGTAAATTGCTGGATGTGGAAGTAGCAGCATTGCTGAATCTGATTTGGTTGTGAGAGGATATTTTGGAGTTCCCCTATTTTAAGTTATCTACAGGCTGTGGTAAACTGTTACCTCTATTTGATTATTTAAGGCTAGCAGAGTTTAATTTATTTGTATTAGGTAGTATTAATGCTGAGAAGTGATTACTATAAATCGTATTACTGTCAGGGCACACAGAATGTTTGTAAAGCTGTTCTATTTTAATGTCAAATAGAAATAAAATATATAAATCCTACTACTATAAATATCAGGTATTGCAGACTAAGTATTTACCTTGCATACTGATATACACAATAGCAGATACAGCGCATATTATGGCAGCCAGGAGAATGAGGAGGACAAGCAGGTAGCTGTGCAATAATCCCCCTCCAGTACAGTTAAATTTCCCTTTGTGAATGGAGTACAAAACAAGAATTCCAATCCACCTGCAGAAAAACAGTACCATAAGTTGTCACAGCTAGGAAGAAACATACTTCACCACAAAGCTAGTTCAGTCATAAAAAATTATCCATCTTCATTTAAAAATAATTCATAAAAGGGTCGTGTTCCCACAATGAACTCACAGAATGTAAAGACCCCAGTAGAGTATATTGCAGTAACCACAATAAAGACTACAAGTTCAACAATATCCTCCTTTTTTTATAGCACCTTTCATTCAGATGGATCCCAGAGCACTTCAATGATGGATGACGTTTATCAGTTTAAGTGATGCAACCACATCTTGAAGTAGTAGCAAATGATTACTGTGTAGTATGGTCTTAATTTAGTACAGCATGCAAAAGTTACATTACATGTCTCATTCTCAATATGAAAACCCGGGTTATCAATACATGATAGGAAAAAACCCTCAATTTCTCTCTCACTTCTATGTAATAAAATGTCAAATGAACCAGACAGTCTCACATCGCATCTAAACAAATATTCCTAACAGCATACCAACTCAGCAGCTTCCCAGGCATGTTTTAAAATTCAACAAGATAATCTACAGATACATAATAGCAATTTCCTAAGGAGCCCAAGGACTACTCCAATCAGCATGGAAGTTAACATACATTTAAAATAAAACAATTAAAATAATCCTAACATTCGCATTATCCTTTATAGAGGACTAGAAATAACTTATCAATAGTTAATCAGCTGCTGATCAATTTTGCCTTCAGCCTGCTGTCACCAGGAGGGAATGGCTGCAGGCAGAACACTTGAGTCTGTCTGTATCTATCTGTTGTCTCTTGTCTTATACACTGTAAGCTCTTTAGGGCAGGGAACATCTTTTTGTTCTGTTCATACAACACCTAGCACAATGGCATACTGGGTTCTAATAATAGGGCACTGCAAATGTACAGTGCACCTTCCATGGCAGACCAGCTCTCCCAGCTGCATGGTTCTCCTCCCCTGGGAGGGTGGTGGGAAGTGAGGATGGGGTGGCTCTTACCAGATCATTCTGATGAAAAGTTCAAAGGCTCCCGGAAAAACAAAGTCATCACTGGCGATAGCCCAGCGTCTCCCAAATATCACCATTCCAGGCATCTTGGGGACCCTGCCAGTGCTGCGCCTGCTCCTCCTGCAGGAAGCAAATGCACTGATGACACACACCTCTCCTTACCCTCCCTAAAGCAGGGAGCCGCCTCCGACCACAACTAGCCACCATCCCTCCGATTACTTCTCTCTGACCACAAGCTACGCATCTGCCCCCTTCCCCTGCCCCCCTTCCCAACCCCCAGGCCAACCCCTGCTCCTGAAAGGCCGTCCCCCCCCCCCACTTCCCTGCCCTCAGGCCAACCCCTCCGACACACTTCAATGCCCAGCCCCCGCCGGGCTGCCCGCCTTCCGTCCCCGCACTTCCCTGCCACACCCCCGGCCTCCCAAGAAGCGGCCCCGCACCAGGAAGACGCTCCCTGCTCTCCTCGGACAGACCGTCACACCAGTCCAAAGAGGATTTCGTAAAAACAACACAACGCCATGACGCAACCACGCAGCGTAAGCCCTTAGAATCGCGCAGGGCACACATTCACCCTTTCCCACCGGCGCATGAGTAGAGCTCGCGCGGCTAGGCGCTTTCCCATACCGCTTCAGGATGGGACGCATGCGCAGGGCTTCTACGATCCCCGCCCTTCGAGCGGCTAGGCGCATGCGCAAAGGACGCGCGGCTCGGAGTCCTCTCTGCTCCCTCTCTCCCACGCCTGCCTAGCCCCGAGGCGCATGCGCAAAGCTCTCCCGTGCTGACAGGCCCTCCCCTGGAAGTGGAGATGCTGAGAGACAGCAGGCTGGGCAGCGGGCACTTGGCTGTCCCTCATGATGCTGCCCCCTGGCAGATGTGGCAGCTGGCCCTGTTCTGCCCCTTATGGCACTGTGACAACCATATGATATCACCTCACAGCACCATGCCATCACCCTACATGCCACTACAATGTGGGGTCCTGTGGGTCCCTCCCACACTGACAAGATACAGAGGGGTTCTAAGAATCTCCTGATTCTGATCTGTATGTTCTGGTTCACCAAAAAAAGTTGTGAGCTCTCAACTGAAAGACAGTGACACACTGGTCATCAATATAATTGTGAAATGTATGTGTACTATGTAAGGAGTTATTAATCTGTACTAGAATATTATGGTTTTAAGCATATAAATTAAAAGCAGGTCAGCAAAAGGTGACATGTCTTAGGCTGCTTCCTTCAGATAGGAGGTAAGAAATGTGTATTTCGGTCATGCTGTAAATGAAGCATTGTAAGCTATTTACAAAGGATGCCTATTTACAAACCAAGTCAAATGGTAATGAACTGATGTGAACTCAACAGGAAAGGAGCACACAGAAAAAGAAAAAAAGCAATGGGTATTATCCTGTCTCTGAGTAAAGACAATGAACTTTGGGATTATTTCTAAAAGGCAAAGCTAACATCCTGGCATCCTCCACCTCCATTCATGAAAGCAGGGTCTCAGCCAAGCTAGGCTGAAAACGCTAAAGAGGACTTTGGGTGACAAACATCTTTAGACAGGTGGTTAACCGGTTAGTTAAGTTTAATCTCTGGAGAGCATGTTACAATTTTGTTTTCTGTGTAACCATTTGTTTCCAATATCCTTATCCATTATCTCCCCCATCTCGTCTTTGATAAATTTATTCTTGTTTTCACTATGAATATATCTCAGTGCTGTGGTATTATGCAAAGTGCTGGTCATGAGTTGAATCTTACAAGCGGGGGGTATCCTGTTCCTCTGGGACGAGTGGGCCTGGTAATTCTGCAAATGTCCCATGGATAATGGGCTGGACACTGCAGGGAATGCTCCAAGAATCTGGGGGTTGGTGTGTGCCTGTCACTACCTGTACAGAGAGATTGAGGTCTGAGAAGGCTTGGAAAGCAGTGCTGATGCTGCTACAGGCTGTTGGTTTCAGGGACCTGCTCCAAAGCAAGCAGAGCCACACTGTCACACTACAGGCAAGTAGTGGCAAGGTGCCTCACAATCTTGGTTCTTGGGTACCCTTGGAAAGCGACATCGCTGCCTCAGACCCTGAGTTCCACTGTGACTTGGGTCCAAGCCCTGTCATTTTTCAGTCTGGATGCAGCTCAAGCCATAGACCTGAGTCAGAAGGTCTGCATAGTGTAGTCTGGACACATTAGCATGGCTCTGCTGGTCCAGCAGTTGTAAACCAGGTTTACAATGCAGCATGGGCTCAGAAACACCGAGTCCACAAGCCTGGGTCCCACAGACCCAGGTTTACAGTACGGTATAAACATACATTAGGATGCCACATGATAAGGTTTTTTTTTTTTTTTTTTAAATAAGATAGGAAATTACACACACACACAAATGATGTTAAAAGAACATTAAGACTGCACATAAAAGTCAAGCACTCAAAAGTTAGGAAATGCCAGAATTAAGGGTGCCTGTGCAACCTTAATTCAGCCCCCTTGTGGATATGGATTTATGATAGTCATAATTACATAATCACATACTATTTTCCCACAAGACCCCTGCCTCATTCAGTTCACAGAATGGAGCTACTCTGGGAATGAATTAGGGTCATATAGTGAAGAAACCTATCTGTAGGACCTCTACCTCATTTGTTGCAAAGTTGGAAGTGTGTAATGAATGAGGCAGGGGATTGATTGCAAGTGAAAGAGACCTTAATAATGTCCTTTTAATGTAATTTTTGTGTGTTCAGTAATATTCCATGTTCACCTCGCCCAAAGCTGGATATGTATAGAAAAAACAGAATTCCTGTACAGACCTCAGGAGAGTCTTTCTACTTACAGAAGTGGCCACCTCAGAAAGGGAGATGCCCACATGTGAAATTTATGTTCAATTTATGGGCTACAACTAGGATCAAAACCAGTCTTAACTTCAATGAGGAAAAAACAAACCTTTCCCCAAAGGTGTGGGTCAGAGACAGCAGGTTTTCAACAGGTATGGAAGACAGGTGAGATGGAAACATTAGGGAACAAATGGGGAACTGGGAATGATATTAAAGGTGGAGAGAAATACACAAAATACGGGCAGAAATAAAAGAAAAGGATGTAGGAAAAGCAAGTCACAAAATTGTTGGATGGGTGTGAGAATACAGAAATGCCTCTAGTAGTTGGACTGGTAGCTGAAAAACAATCTCATTTACATTTGAAGTTAGGTGGAATACGGGTGAGGGAAATAAAGGGACCCATACCAGACAAATACAATTTAACCAAATGCAGGTCAATAGTAATTAATGTGAAATCTATCCAGGTACTTATTTGGCACTCATTACTGTAGTATCTGAACACCTCACAATCATACTGGATTTTATCCTAACACCACCCCTGTGAGGGAGAAAGTATTATGACCATTTTACAGATGCAGAGCTAAGGAACAGAGTACATTAAGTCACTTATCCAAGTTCATACACAAAGTATAAGGCAAGAACTGAACCCAGCTCTCCTGAATCCCAATACAGTATTCAAAACAGTAGACCATTCATACCCCCTTTGTGTTTGATCCACTCATCTTCTCTGTCACATTTCTAAATCCAATCTAGTGCAGCCACAGATTTATTCCCACTTTTAAAATTATTTTCTAAAACATTCATACTAACAGATGTTTCTGTATTTAAAGATAATACATCTATTTTCTCAACAAACACCAGTACAGCAACAATGAAGTTAATTTAAACAACCGTCTGTTACTACAACTGTTCATCCAGACACAGGATGATACAAAGCCATAATTTAAGAACAAAGATACAATTTACACCATTTCATAAAATGTTTATTGAGGATGGTAACACAGGATAAATCATGCAACAGCTCAGTAAAAAAGGGAATCATTTAAAGAATATAAAGAATGGTAATTGGTGCTGCTGATTTTCAAACAAGTTTATAAAAATCATACTAATTGTCCAGAAGTGATACATCAAAAACCACTTCAAGCTGAACATGGACATTACTTGTAAAGTATTCATTAAAAAACTGAAGACGTTTAAAATGATCACCTACAGATTACTGCAATTGACAACTATCATGGGTTATTCATCCTTATAGCTGCAACAATGTTACTACTAATGAAAGTAGGGCTCTACATCCAAAACAGTTTAACCATCTTTTCCTGAATAAAGAACACAATAGAAATGTTTACCACTAAACCACACAGCCAAGCACCTTACCCTCTCTAACCTGCATTGCCACCAAATACTTTATCACTTGGATTGCCTTCCTAGACAACAGATCAAAGACACAGAGGGCATGCACCCTGGTGGCCACAAGAATGGACTCCCTAACATCCTTTAACAGCCTGTTTTTAAAAGGGAAGGAACCAAAGAGAGAAAACTCTAACAAAACATGACTGCCAGCCTTAATGGCACTGACATGTTTTCATAGGAAACTCCCTATCAGCACATGGCATAGCATACTGGTCACAAGAACTTCACATCAAATATCAGTGGGTTCAGATTTAAGTTGACAGATATAATTCACCTTTTGGAAAAAAAATAAATATAGTGGAATGAAAATTGAAATGAAGGGGAAGAATAATGATTACCATCCATCAGAAAGCACACATGTGTGTGCACTGAAATAAATCAGTAATTTGAAAGAATCCTTGAAAATTTAAAAAAAAAAAGTGTTTGTACTTATTTCTGGTCATAAACAACCTCACAAAACCTCACTTTTGGAACTATTCAAATTGAAACTACACACTGAATTTATTAATACAGTATAAGTTTCTTTATGTAAAAAATCTTTATACATAGTAATAAAAAAGATAGAGGCAAGATGCATCAAACAGAAATCCGCTGGTTGTTTTTCCTCTATTCTTACAGAGCCACTGATGACTATCTGTGCTAAAAAGAGAGTTGTATTTCTAACTTTCTGTCTCAAGCATCTTCGCCTTTGCTTGTGGTAAGGATTGTTCTGTCCAAGCATCCGGAAGGACAGATGCTGGTGATGATTTTTGGCACTTACGCTGGCAAACTGAGCTTCTTTCCTTTTAGTACTAGGGAAAAAAAGAGAAAAGTTACTAAATACATAGATGTATCCATGGACAAATTGTTGAAGTATGTGAAGGAATACAATTTATCAGACAGAATCACTTTTTTGTAAGAAATGCTCTATAATCAGGTCCTCCTAACTCATCTCCCTGCCATTAAATTCCCTGGGAGAGTACAGTAACTCCTCACTTAACATTGTAGTTATGTTCCTGAAAAATGACTTTAAGCGAAACCATGTTAAGCGAATCCAATTTCCCAATAAGAATTAATGTAAATGAGGGGGTTAGGTTCCAGGGAAATTTTTTTCACCAGACAAAATATATATATATATATATATATATACATACATACACACACACACACACACACACACACACAGAGTATAAGTTTTAAACAAACAATTTAATACTGGTACACTGTGATGATGATTGTGAAGCTTGGTTGAGGTGGAGGAGTCAGAGGGTGGGATATTTCCAGGGAATGCCTTACTGCTAAATGATGAACTAGCAATTGGCTGAAGCCC